CGTTGATGGTGACTGGTGATGGTTGTCGTTGTTGCTGTTGCTACTGGTTGGTTATCTTCATCAACTCCGTCTTCTCTATGTTCACCTGGAGTCCTATCTTCACTGCCAGCCTGCCTATTCTGCCAGTTTGTTGCTTTTCGTCTGCAAGTCTTCGAGTTTGTGTGACATTAGACATATATCATCCACGTGTGAAATCCAGATCTTCTACAGTCTTCTTATCGGTGGTCCAGTGTATTCCTGTCTCCTCACTCCCACTGCACAGTCTGACGCATAATCCAGTCCACCACAACTAATAATATCATCGGTGATAATAGGCAGGCAGCAAGCTTTTCTTACTCCTGTATGTACTTCGGACGCCTCGCTGAGTTTTCCGTTGTGGATCACTTGACACAGGGCATTGTCATATAGCCAGCTATTGAGTGAGGTTGATAAAAACTTGAGGCACTGCACGCCATAGTGTTGAAGTAGTTTCCATATTACTTCTCGGTCAACGCTGTCCGTCGAATGCCTTTTCGAAATCCATGAAATTTAGGTAGGAGAGAGGTTTGACTGCCACTCAGCGCTTTTGCTCATCTCTTACATTCTGAGTAAAAACGACATAGGGCTTCAAATGCTGAGTTTTGAGGTTTCAGTAACCATGATGTTGTTGTTAATCGATTTTTACGGCATATGAGGATGTTAGCCTTACTGTCAAACCTTTCTTCTTTCTCCAGGCTTACTGTTGGTTAGTCAGCTAAGCGTGGGTTTTTTAAGAATGCATCAGTCGGGAATCGAACCATGGATCTCTCGCGTGTGGTTGGCAAACATATTCTACTATATTAAACCATCGATGTATTATACTAAACAAGAATGAAATTAATAAATAATCCCCGCTCATCAGTCAATTACATTATGACCTTCATGTGAAAAAAAATCTAGGCACCAAAATGATGGTGGTCAGATGAGAGAAAGCACAATTTAGGTGAAATATATAATCCAGGCTTTCATAAGAAATATGGACAGTGTGTTTATTTGTGTGTTTCTCGATGTATGCTTGTGTGTGTGTGTTTCTGTGGATAGAATCCCATAAACAAGGAAAAGTAGTGGAGTGAAGGGGGGGGGGGGAAATGGTAAACAGTTCAATGTAAATTGTGTATAAGGTATACATAAATAAGTAAACGGGTATAATAAAATTATTTCAGGTAATCAAGGTTAAGGGAATATGTATATACACCTATATAGTGAAAGTTCAGTGTATTAAGGGAAGAAACACAAAATTTATTTATGTTTTTCCACCAAAATCCAAATTGCTATCGCTTCTTTAGCTTAAAGAATTTTCGATCGGGTAGTGTTTCGTTAGTGGGGCAAGAGACTAACTAAAACGCACTCCGTTTTCACTTACCGGCCGAAGAATTCATAAACATCGCCTAGCCCGTAGTAATCCCGGCAAAGACTTAAGGTTGGGTGTGAGACTAGCCACCCCACTATGTAAAAATCAAACATCACAACCACTACTGAGACGCAAACTGAAGCTGTTCCACTCGGAACGCAAAGGAAAGAAAACAGCAGTTTAGTAGAGTAATGTTAGGTGGTCCCATTTGAATTCAGGGAGGTGATGGTATAGAGATTCTCACAGTATCACTGTTATTATTATTATCAATTTTCCTGCTTCCTGAGAGGAATACAGGGAGTAAGCAGCACATTTGTATGGCATTCGCTTCTCTGTCATCACTTTTAGTTGGCTCCATGACTGCCTACAGTGTCTACAGTGCGTCGGTGGCACAGCGGTTGGGAAGCTTGCCCACCATGCACATGGTCCACGGTTCGACCCCCGGCCGACGCACTCCTTTACCTCGCTAAGCCAGTAATAAGACTGGTAAAGAGGAAAGGTTGGGCATGAGGCTAGCAACCCCATCCTCAAAAAATAAAAAACACTGCTACCGAAACTTCGAGCCTCTAGCTGGAAGTAGCCTTACGTTACAGTGGGAACGTGAAGGAATTATATATATATGACTGTCTACAAGCTTTTATTTTCTCTTCAGTTCATCTTCTCTGTGTCACCCTCGGAACTATCTCCAACTCCTCAATTCCCATTCGGGATCTACTGTAAGCCACGCCTGGAATGTAATGTCATTTGAAGATCTTCTCAGAGTATGTCCAATGCGTCTCTGCTGCCTTCAGCATATTTTTTTCAGCAATGATTTATTAGCTGGTTATACTGGTCACAGTACTCTTATTACTTATTCGACGAACTGATCAGTCTAAAAGGTGGTTATAAGGACAGAAAATCAGACTGCTTGTATGTACTAGGTCTGTATAACCCACAGTCCAGTTAATTTAGATTTTAGCTTCTGGTGCCTATTAATGCAGGGATACTTTGGATGGATTCATATAAATAATGAGAATTAAATTTCATACATCTATCACACTGTCAGATATAATGGAGTGTTATTGAAAGAATTATACCTGAATGAACTTGTAGACTACACAGTCGAGATTACTTATTTATCATTGATTGATGATGTATACTACGGCGAAGCATGCAAAGTTATTACACTGACGTATTCCTCGGAGACAGACAGCGGGCAGTGAGGAAACAGGCATAAAATGGACTCACACACAAAAAACTTGGAGGATCTGGATTTCGCCGATGATGTATGTCTGATTTCCCACAAACTGGAAGATATGAAAGTGAAAAGCAACAAGTTGGCAGAAGAAGAAGCATCCAGAGAAGATAGGACTTCAGGTGAACATAGAAAAAACAGAGGTGATGAAGATTCCTGGCCAACACCAACAGCAACAACAACGGACAACAATTAGCATAAAATAGAGGAGAACCTGAAAGAAACAACCTCTTTTACCTACCTACCTGGGAAGCATCGTTTCAACTACAGGTGAACGGAACTGACGAGGATATCAAAGCAAGAATCGGAAAAGCAAGACAAGCTTTCACTACTCTCAAGTCTGTGTGGAGGTCAACAGCACTCAGCATGAAAATGAAAATAAGATCCGGATATTCAACTCCAATGTGAAGTCAGTGCTAATATACGGATCAGAGACTTGCACTGCGCGTCATAAAGAGCATCTCAAACAAACTACAGACCTTCATTTACAGTTGTCTTCGCTCAATACTCAAGATCAGATGGCCAGAAAAGATCAGCAACAGGGATCTCTGGGAGCGAACCAAGCAGGAACCGATTGTGCAACAAATATGCAGGAAGAAATGGAGATGGATTGGCCATACTCTGAGGAAACCATCAAGTGACATCACTAGACAAGCCATCGCTCGAGTGGAACCCGAAAGGGAAGCGTCGAGTTGGTCGTCAGTGCGAGGGTGACTTGGAGGAGGTCATGTGAAGAGGAGATGAAAGCGTGTGGGCAGACTTGGAGCCAGGTGAAGACTCTAGCAGAGAACCGAACGCAATGGATACGCACGGCTGAAGCCCTATGTTCCTCTAGGAATTAAAGGAAACAATAATAATATTATAATAATTCCTCGGAGAGTATGTCTATGTTCATATTACTAACTCTTATCTAAATATATTAAAAAGATGTATCAACAAAGAGTACTCTTAACGTCTTAAGGGTTTTTAAGGCGATCAACCAAGAAAAAGTACTCAAGTTCTTGGTTTCTTGTCTCCTAGTAGTCCTTAACAATCTCTAGGCAATTGATGTTCATCTCAGAGACTTGAACAAGCATCACCCGACGATGTAGCTAGAGACGTAGCGGTATAGTAAATAAGCACTGAAAATGTAGCAGCTGACTGATGGTTTGGGAAATCTCGTCAAGAGTCGAAGTGTAATACAAATAAATGGCAAAATATATGGACTGGTTTATCAGAAAGTGAAAGTTTTACACTGTGAATAGTATGAGATTACAAATTTCTAAAATTAATATCAAGTCGGTCATTGCTTCTGTTTTTTACAGAGAACTGGCACTCCTGCGTCACTAAAATGATTTCCAACAGACTACTTCAGACTTTCATTAACAAGTGTCCGGGATTAAAGATCAGATGGCTGGTTAGAAAAGATTAGCGTCGGTGGCACAGCGGTAGAATCCCCGCCAACCCCGTATGTGGATCGGAGTTCTATCCCCGGCCGACGCACTTCTTTACCTCACTAAACCAGTAATAATACAGGGAAAGAGGGAAGGTTGGTCATGAGGCTAGCAACCCCATCCCGTAAAAATAAAAAACACACCACTGCTACCGAAACTTCAAGTTTCTAGCTTGAAGTAACCCTATGTTCCACTGGGAACGTAAAAGAATAAAATTTGAGAAAAAGTAATCCTAGAAAACAACCAACCAAGAACCATAGGCCCAAAAAATATGCCGAAGAAAATAGAGATGCATTGGAGAATGTTCAGTGACAGCTGGGCGTTGGAGGGTGACATGGAGATCATATGAGCAGGAAACGAAAACCCGTGGGCAGTCATGAAATCAGGTAAAAGAGACTGGAGACAACAGGGTAAAAGTGGAAACATCAGGCCTATTTATAATGCGAATTACCAACAAATGAGAATATATGTCTATTTTCAATTAGAATTATACAAACTAAGTAAATAACTGAAGGTTTAACAAGTAATTTGTCTCTCAGCGTTCATTAAGTCACTAATGGACAACAGTTAGAGTATCACTGAAAACCATACAACTTTGCACAGGTGTTTCTTCCTCATTTGAGAGTCTTCAGTAGTGTGCATATAGATTGTGAGGTGATCCCACTGACCATCCAGTCACCTTGTTAGAGATCAGCAAGCGATGAATTCAAACTGCTGTCAGTTTTTCCTCGCCAACGAATACCGTAGATGAGGTTCCGATTCACACACATGACACTATGGACGAAATTGCTGTTGAGTGCTGTTTGGTTTTACAATGATCTTCTAACCCATGTCAGTTCGTGATGATATCTACTCTGAAATGCATTAAGATCGCCTCAGAAACCTGAAAAGTTTCTTTATTAATTTTTTAATATATATATATTTATACATGTTTTTCTCTCAATATATTTCATCTTCTTTACAGAAAGACTGTCCTTCAGGCCTACTAAATCGTTCAACATTTTTAAGTATGTATACACAATTCTTCCCAGATGGTAAAGCAAGACCATTCTATGAACATTTGTTTCGAACATTTGATCAAGATGCTAGTGGAAGCATCGATTTCAATGAATTTTTAACTGTAAGTGTTTTTAATAACTTATTATTATTATCTTTATTAATATATGTGTAAAACTTGCGCACTGTGGTGGTAGTAAGTAATTCCATATTAGTTTGTTTATTAGATATATCACACAGTGAAACAGTATTATTTACTGGATGACGAAGTTTCGAACAAAATTTATTGTTCATAATCATAATCATTCAATTAATATGATTATGAACAATAAATTTTGTTCGAAACTTGTCATCCAGTAAATAATACTGTTTCACTGTGTGATATATCTAATAAACAAACTAATGTGGAATTATTATTATCTTTGTATTGAATGTTTTGACAAGTCAATTTTTATAGTTTTAACTAATAAATAGGAATCCAGGATACGCATTTCGTCCTGTTTGGAACTCGTCATCTAGATGTGCCTGCATTCCACAGTGAGTCAGTGATGATGTTCCCACCGAGGCTGGAACCCAGTGCCCATAGTTTCAAACGCTAAAGCTTTATCCACTAGACCACTTTCTCACGGGAGCCACCAGAAGCCCACTTGTCAACCTGAGACCGAGCACTTCGATACAATCAGTCGACGGAAAAATCTAAAAAAATTGAATTAAGTAGTTAATATGACCCGTTGAACAAGAGGTGGATCTCGTGGTCCAGGTAGTTTAGTAAATAACACGATGGCGTTTGAATTGGTGGGCACTGGGTTCGAGGATTGGCAAGAACATCATCACTCACTGGGGGAGGCAGGCACATCTAGATGATGAGTTCCGAATAGGACGAAATACGGAACCTGGATTCCACTGCTAGTCACCATCCACCAATTAACTTCTAAATTACATGCGCAGACATCATCGAAACACATGCACAAGAAGCCGAAGTGTCAACATGAGACTGGGCACTTCGGTCCAATCAATCGACGGGAAAATCTAAAACTGAATTAAATAATCAATAGGATAATAAGTATTAATATATGGGTAAAACTTGGGCACTGTGGTAGTACTGTGGAAGGATAATAAGTAATCGATTCAGTTAATGTTACTGAGGCATTTGACTGGTTACAAGTTTGATTAGTAATTGAAATCACTAAGAGCACCACTGAAAACTAACAGGGAGTAATGAACAGCTGATTCGTCTAAGTTCGTGACTCTTCAGCAATAGCGTGCATGACTCCACATGGAGGTGGGGGGTGGGGTTCAAACCTAGGACTCTTAGGTTACAAGGCCAACCTGTTGATCACTTCGCCACTAACTGACATCAGTCCGTATTCTAACCTACTACTCACTATTGACTAACACCGGAGTGGAGCTTCTAAAGTTCTAATAAAAAGTTATGACCAATAGGGTCCACCAAGTTGAATAATGTAAAGACAAATACTCACTGATGGCATCAGCTGACGGTGACGCAATATATCACTGATTGATAGATGTTAGAATTCACGGGTTTAGGGAATTCCAAATGCTTAAAATGGATCATCTTGTAACATGTTAGTCCTAGGGTAAGGTGTACGTGTCCTGTTGAATAGTCTGGAACTTAGAAGAAACCGGCATTCAGTACTCTTTGCTGGTTTATCAAATAGTTCTTCCGTTGATGAAGCCTTTACAGTCAATCAAATATTTTGCAAACTAACAATGGGAAATTACTTTTCTTAACCGAAAAAAAATATGCTAGCTTAAAATTCTAGAAAAATAAGCATAAGTGTTCATTAAACTAAAAGCCAAAAATTTTAGTTAGTCTATCGGTCAGTCAATCATTCGATCAGTCTGTCGGTCGGTCAGTCAGTCAGTCAATCAATCAATTCACAGTAATCCGCTTCAACAACAACAGCAAAATATGCGCTGGGAATTTCTATTCGAAATAACTTGTTAAAACTGATGGAAGGTTAGGTTAAAATTCCTTAGAAAAACGTGATACAAACTGAAAGTAATAATAATAATAATAACAAATAGTTCAAGATGGAAGCATCATTAAGGTCAACCATGTAAACAGCTTAAGGTAATATGTAAGAGAGAGAGAAAGAGAGTAATAATTCAATGCAACTGAATATTAATCAAAACTTTAAACTAAAGACTGAATATTCAAGTATTGGTTCGTAGGGATTTGATTGGTTGGTCACAGGATTTCAGCATGAGCTGACATCAGTTAGAAAACCATTGGAAAACCTGCAGGGAATACTGGCAGACTCTTCATCGGCACGCACCCACACTGCGGGGTTCGAATCCAGGACCTTCTGGTTACAAGGCTGGTGAGCTCGTAGACCATTAAGCCACTGGATCCCAATCCAGTGGACACCCCATGAATTCCAACTTCTGCCAGTTCATGACATAGTGCGACCACTAGTCAATATCTTCGGCGAGTATCTGTCCTCACGCCCGACCTGCTGTACCCTACTGGTCATGACTTCTCACTAGAATGCCAAGTAACTGCCTACCTGAATAGGGCCAGTCGCTAGTGAGCATTTCATTGATATTCAAGTATTGGTTTGTAGAAACTGAGTAGTTAATTGAAAGCACAATTGATATTCTAATATATTCCTGAATAATCCCATCCAGATATTCATAATGAAAATGAAATGCGTAGTTCAACGAAGAGGCTGTTTTCTCTATGAACTGATTTTCCTCTTCAGCCACACAATCACATTTATGTACAATTTTGTTTTTCATGAAAGAGGGTAGTAACAAAAGTGATGAGTTGTCATAATTATAACTGAAAACATTAGTCAATGCATAAAAGGAGTTGAATAAGCAAGCCTATTAAAGTTATGTAATAAGATGAATAATTTAATGACTGAGTTGTAGTCAAAATGTACATAGAAACGAAGGAAAATATAGAATTATGTAAGAGTTCGAAAGAAATAGAGGAGTTAGAAAAACAAACAAACCAAAATCAAGTTAATAAAAATCAAAAAGGCTGTTACCACAATAGTATTATTTATTATTATTATTATTCCCTTGGGTTCCGAGTGGAACATAGAGCTTCAACAACAAATCTCCACTTTGCTCCGTATTCTGCCGTTCTCTTCAGCTGGGTCCAAGATTGACCATAATCTCTCACCTCCCCCACCCCACACTATCTCCTTCATGTCACCCTCACAACGACGACCCACTCGCCGCTTCCCATTTGGATTCCACTGGAGCGATGGCCTGCTTTGGGCGCGATGTCATTTGACAGTCTCCTCAATGTATGCCCGACCCATCTCAATTTACCACAATAATAGATATGGTTGAATAATTTTATTTTGTAAGCATACTTGCAGTGTGTCGGTGGCATAGCAGTTAGGACGCTCGCTGACCATGCACATGGTCCGGGGTTCGATCCCCGGCCACAGACGCACTTCTTCACCTCGCGAAGCCAGAAATAATGCTGGTAAAGAGGAAAGGCTGGGCATAAGGCTAGCAACCCCATCCTGTAAAATTAATCACCACTGCTACAGAAACTTCGAGCCACTAGCTTGAGGCCCTATGTTCCACTGGGGAACGTGAAGGAAAAAAAGCATACTTGCAGTTTCTCTATCTGAATGGTTAAAGCTTCAGCAGTGCAAAGAAGACGAAAGCATATTTCCTCTAGCAGGTTGTTCTTCATTTTGTGGATTACTTTGAAGGAGGTCCTTGTTGAGGTGGAATGGCCAATATTGACAAGCTATTCAATTATCTTACAGCCAATACCACCTATCTACAATCATATGGGATAGTGTTCTTGTGAACTCTTTTAGACAGGTTACGCATAGAACGATCAATATATCTGGCTTCAAAGCAATATATGAACTGATATATGCACATAGAAGTGATCAGATGCAAACTTTTGTCCTTAAGGCTTCTGCAGGCCAATGGACGGTTGGGGAACATTACTCTCAAAAATGATGATATTCTGCCCTTGAGGATACTGTAGGTTAAGCCTCCCTTGAAATTTAGGTTCACGTGATGTTTCTTTCCTCTGAATTTTTGGTTTGATATTCTGATCAATGAATCTTGGTGGGTATCCATTTTAGACGAAGACGTATTTCAGAATATCCAGTTCTGCTTCTAAGGAGTCCTCAACATCACTTTTTTACTATCCTAATTCAAAGTAGAAATATGAACTGAACTGCAGCAGTTCCAGTTACTACACTTGACGAAAATACACATAAAGAGAAAAGAAACTATATTAAACGGAATTGTACGGAAGAAAGACATGATTAAGACGGAGAATATTGGGAATTGAATGGATTTGGGTATTTATAAAGAGTGGATTGCTCTGCAATATTAAGAAGTATTTCAAGCCGTACCATCATCAGTCTTCAGCCGGTGGTTCTTAGCGTGCTCCACCTAAGTAGTCTGTGCCTGTCTACACAACTCAAACCAAAAGTTAAAGACTTCAAAATTTGATGCTGTATATTACTCTAACCACTCCTAACCCATTTCCCACCAAAATCTATCTATATCAGCTGACACTGAATGCTGATAAAGGCAGTAGGATGTCGAAAACATGTTGTAGCCATACTGATCGCTGCAGCTTCACAACCTTATCTACTGAATTTCCCTGTTTAACTCACACTCTAAGCCTAACCTCAATATTACTCATCATCAGGGCTGATGTAACTCCGCAGAATAAGTGCAGTGATCAGCACGCTAACATATTTCACCACATATCCTTAAAATTATTGGTCGATGAGGACCAGTCTTGAAGCATCATCGTACATTCGACAGCGTGAATCTCACTCCAGACTTACTACAAAAACATATGTAAACATCCTACTGAAATATTGTTCGGAAAACTCTGAATTTTGTCAGTGTCTATACATGGAAGCATAATATTGACTGATAGAATTCAGTCCGCACCAAAGATAGGACTAGACACATTACACTAATTACTGACCAGTGTCCAATCACAAAAAATATCCAATACAACCTGAAAAGCTCAGTGGTAACGTCTCTGACTGCAGTACTCACTTGGTGACACGGTTTTGAATCTCAGAAGACACATGAGTTCCCTCATGATTGCAGATACTCCTTGCTGACTGGTGAGTGCCAACTGGCACGAAACCT